GAGTGTGAGTGTGAGTGTGAGTGTGAGTGTGAGTGTGAGTGTGAGTGTGAGTGTGAGTGTGAGTGTGAGTGTGAGTGTGAGTGTGAGTGTGAGTGTGATCAGGCTCGGTTAAAGGCCACTTCAGCCGAGCCTCTGAATGATCAATAAATGATTCCGCCGACGGGCTCAGTGACTTTGACTTGTCTTGTGACCTTTATTGCAGTTACAGTTGTGTTCCAATGAGTGATCGCCGCAGCTCTTGGGAAGCTGGAGCAGTTCGTGGGCTCGGTTACATTACGTGACTGCTGTCCAGGCCCAGAGCACGGTGGAGTGTTCAGTTAGCATGAGCACTGCCTGCTGACCACGACGAGATTCAATGCAGCTGCGATCGGTTCTGAATGGCGAAATGGACCCTTCTGGGGCAGAATTCCCACACCCCCCCACCCCCCCAGGAGTGACATGCAAGTCCAGTCCTGCTGCGGGTATCGCTTCCTGTCGCGGGGCACAGTCAGGGAAGAACGCTGGAGAACGGGGCCAGTTTACGGCGATAATTTCTCCGTTTGGCCCCGCAGCGCCGGGCTTTCACTGTGCTTGACTGCGCCGACACGGGCAGTGCGGGGGGGCGAGGGGGGGGGGGTAGGGCCTCCTTCTTCGGCAGGGGGGACAGTGGAGCCACGAGCAGCGGGTTCGTGACGGTCCTGGTTGAACAGAGGCCGGGGGGGCCTGGGACAGTACCCCGGTACCTCGCAGGTGAGCGGAGCCACAGGGCGGCTGCTGGAGAGCCCAGACCGTACCCCGCGGGCCAGCGGAGCCACAGAGCGGCTGCGGGTTCTGGCCCAGTCCAGCAGAGGGCAAGCAGGGTGCAGAGTGAGGCCGCAGAGGCCCGGGGGCGGGCGGCGCTTCTGTGGAAACTGTGCCGGTGCCTTGGGAACGACGATCAGTCGTCCGCCTCCTTCTCCTCCTCCCGCTGCTTCCGGGAGAAGAATCCGAGCTGGAGGGCAAGGAAGAGGGAGAGAGGGGGTGAAGACTGGAGACGAGCGAGAGGAGCCACTCAGCAGTTAGTGGCTGGATACCTTGTTCCAGACCCCCGCCACCCTTTGTGTAAAGAAGTGCCTCCTTTCCCATCCATCCGTTTTCTAAAATCAGGTCCCAGGGGAGATGGAGTCTATCCCGGCCAGCAACTGGAGCAAGGCAGGATACACCACCCTGGACGGGACCAGGCCAGTCTGTCGCGGGTCAGACATGGACATGCCCCATTGACACCAAGGGCAATTTTCCCAGAAGCCAATTCACCTACGAGTATGTCTTTGGACTGAGGGAGGAAGCTCACATGAGCAAAACAAGAACATGCAAACTCCACACAGACAGCACTCCAGGAACTGAACCCATGGCCCCAGTGCTGTGAGGCAGCAATGCTAACGACGGCCGCACCATGACACCTGTTCTTGGTTTAAAAGGCACTTCCATGTAGCTTACACATTCTGGTTCATGTAGCACAGTTCATTAAGGAATATTCTGGCCATACTTGATCTGTGCTTTTGAGGATTTTTTTCAAACTGGTATCGGGTTCCCCTGGTAATTATCTCTCACTGTGACTGAAGGAAGGTTCAGGGCTGTGGGTGTTAGTCCCAGGCTGCACTGGCTGCTCCACCCTGGGCCTGGCCTGCCTCAGCCGCAGTGCAGAGTTCCCTCCAGGCAGCCTGTGTGTGTGTGGGCAGCACTCACCTTCCACAGCAGGAAGATGATGAGTGCCAGCAGCAGCAGTCCCCCGATGATGCTGCCAATGAGGATCCAGAGAGAGATGGGGATGGACCGGCCCTTCAGCACCTCTAACACCGTCTGCAGAGACACGTGGGACCGGTCATGCGCTGCTCAGCCATAGCACCCAGCATGCAGAGTCAAGGACCACCTGGTCACCCAGAGCCTGATCACAGAGTCAGGGACCACCTGGTCACTCAGAGCCTGATCACAGAGTCAGGACCACCCGGTCACCCAGAGCCTGATCACAGAGAGTCAGGACCACCCGATCACCCAGAGCCTGATCACAGAGAGTCAGGACCACCTGGTCACCCAGAGCCTGATCACAGAGTCAGGACCACCTGGTCACCGAGAGCCTGATCACAGAGCCCCTAACTCCCTCACACAGCCAGTCCCCAGCCCCTCACACACAGAGCAGTACCTCTCTCCAGAGCCCGGCAGGGCCC